GTGTGTGTGTGTGTGTGAGAGAGAGTGTATGTACCTGAGTGCTCTGTGTTGGGCTGGCCGGGTGTGAGGGGCGATATGGCTGGCGTGTCGGGCGTTACGGCCGTCGCTCTCTGTGACGGAGGCAGTAGCAGCTGAGGTTTAGATGGAGCGGCTGGCGGGGCGTCCTGCACTGGCTTGACGTTGGTCGTCTGCAGTGGCGTGTTTGCTGGAGCAGGCTTTTCTGGCTCTCTGATTGGCTCGGCCTGCGGAGCAGTGGAGGTTTTTCCACCGGTGGCGACAGGAGGAGGAATCTCATCTTCATCGATGGGTTTCCCCTTTTTAACCGACGTCAACATAGACTGCAGAGTCTAAAAACAAAGATAATATGTTACCAACCGCTCTGAAAGCCTCAAACATGAGGAAAAACTGACCGCGACTGAGAGCTTGTAATGTCTCGGATACTTGATGCATATAATACATCGCCTTTGGTGATATATCGGTTGATCGCTATCTGAGACATCACAAACTTTCAGTCTTTTTTCTGTTTGACTGATAAAATGCGTGAGCAGGACTTTTATTTTGACATCACCTGAATGCAGAAGCACAGGACTTCCTATTCTCTGTCTTCATTAGTTTACTGTCTTTGTTTACCAGTCTAACAATAGAACGGCAAATGCTATAATACTTCACAAATATGCCATCGATATTTAAGAAATACACATGTATATCATTTAAACAAGTCTTTAAATATCTGGTAAACATTTATTTCCAAAAACCTCGCAAACTTTGGAAAATCCAGCTGAAGAGCACATTGTATCCTTCGCACATGACATTGCACTAATATATTTTATTATTGCTATCTAGTGTAGCATAAATGTAGTAAAATATAAAATATTACATTTAAATATATACTAAAAATATAAACATATACTACATAAAATATAGTATAAATTGTTTATTTTACAGATATCTTTAATCAAGTTCAAATTGTTATTTTTCTTCAAATTGATACATTTTCAAATTATTTACTTCTAATAGTGTGTCAAATAAATGTAAATATGATTGCAGCAATAGTTACACTTGTGTTATTCACTATAGGTAAATTAAAAGATCTAATTTATTTCAAATTCTTTTTGTAAATATTATGTACAATAAATAAATAAAAATACAATTGCAGTATTTGTTATTCTGGTGTTATTTACTATGGTAAATTAAATACCCGTCTAATTTATTTAGAATACTTTTAATAAATACCATTTAAAATAAATATAATTGCAGTAATTGTTATGCTTGTGTTATTTACTATTGTTAAATTAAATAGTCTTCTAATTTATCTGTATATTTTAGTAAATATTATATAAAATACTTGTAAAAAATCTATAGCCTGAATGCACTGTAAGTCGCTTTGGATAAAAGCGTCTGCTAAATGCATACATTTATTTATTTATAAAATAAATATCATATATGGCCTTTATATCAGCCACCCTGCTCTCTAAGATAGTAGCATCAGTTATCAGAAAGTCCATATTGGTGGACCTCTAGTCTTGGATATGTCTCACCTTCAGTCCGCGGTCGTATCGCCGTGCTTTGCTGGTCTCCCCCGCGGCCTTGGCGTTGGTAATGGCCGTTTGGTACATGTCCAAGCGCTCTTGCAGGCGAGCCTCCAGGCTGGTAGGTGCATTCTGGGATGCGGGCGCTGCATTTGAGCGTTGAGGCGGCACTGGTGACGGAGGGGGCTTCCTGACCCCTTGCTCCTCATCGTCTTCCAGCACCTCATTCAACTCAGCCTGAAACACACACAACGACTTCAATCAGAAACGTTTCCTGTGAGAAAGTTGTGCCACCTGTAGAGGACGTGAAGACAAGAAGGTTTTTGTCTTACCAAGAGATCAGCATCGTTCTCCAAATCACCATCATCGTCTCCGTCCTCGTCCAGGTCGTTCATACAAAGGGCTGCCATGCGCTCAATGTCCTCCATGGGCACTGGAGCTACATGATGCAAAAAAAAGAGAGAAAGATGACGAAAAAATGCCAAGGGTCAAGGTTTGGGTGCTAAGCATGGCTTGCTGCTGGTAGAAGGCAATATCTTCACCTTTTCCTCCAGGTTTCTTGGCCGCTGGTCCGCCCCTCCCTCCTCCTCCTCCTCCTCCTCCTCCCATCAATGCCAGAAGCTCCGCCTCCAGCGCCACATCATTTCCTCCAGAGTCCAGCCCATCGTCAGGAGCCAAATCCAACAGCAATCCCATCTGATTGCATGAGGATGGAGAGCCAGGGTTATTTTAGTATCTTTGAGATACTATTTTAATTTTTATCACTGTTTTATCATTTTCATGTAATTTTAATTTCAGTTAAAGTTTTAGTAATTTCGTTGTGTGTCATTTTTATTCGTTTTTTAAAATCTTTTTATTTCTGTTTTAGTTATTTTAGTACTTCAAGTTAAACTAAATGAAAAAGAGAAATGCTGGAAAATAAAATAGGTACGTTTTTATATTTGATTTTATTTTTATTTCAAGTAACAAAATGTTTTTTTACGTTGTTAGTTTTAGTTGATTGGAGAGCGACTGATTTATTGATTGTTTTAACTTATGAACTTGCAAATTCAAAAGCATCTTATGCACCTACATTCACTTAATATGTCTATAGAACATTTCATATCCTTTCATTTGATTTGAGTTTTTCTTATTTTATTATGGTACTTCAGGTGAAAGTAAATGAAAGTTACAAATGCTGCCTTTGCAACTAGCATCATTTTTTTCTTTTTGATATTTTATTTTGGTTAGTGTTCATTTTATTTCAAGTAACATGTTTTTTAAACTAGGTTTTAGTTTTAATTTACAATAGTAACCCTCAAAACTGATTTATAGATTGTTTGAACATTACATATGAACTGCTGAATTTTTTTTGCATGTGTGGCACTCAAAGTGAATGCAGTTTAAGCACTAAATAATTGGAGAAGTCCTACATGTCACCACAAGTCTGTCATTTTCATGAAATATTATAAAGTAAAATAAATACATAATTAAATAAACATGCACAGTCTTCTTGACTCTCATCTTGTGTATTACCTGTTTGGCCTTGGAGGGCCCCTGGCCCTTCTGCGGAGGGTTCCGGCTTCGACTCATTTTCTCCACTGGTCCCTCAAACCTGGAGTGAGAATGATTCATTAATAACAGCCACTGCATCAGGATCAGCCTGTCAATAACACCAGAAAGCGTCACGGCGCATTCCTACGCCATTACGTGAATCGTGACGTTTGACGTTTGTATTTGCATAATCCACGCATTGACAGAATCGACGGCAATACATATATATTTAATAGTTTTATATTTACGCCTTACACATTAACTGACTATGAGATCAACAGGGACTGTTTCAACAGTATTTAACCTGCTAGTGTTGTAACAGGTTTAAACAGGTCAACCCAAAGCACATATTTAGCTGATTTTGCACCAAAACTGATGGAGGCAAAGCCCAATGAAGCCATAAAATAGATATAAGATCATTCATAATATAAATCATAACGTAAACAACTAAGTCAGTCAAAGTGTCTGCTAGCAAGGAGGCTAATTCTTACATCAGACTCTATTTACTAATAATTTGAACGCGATACCTCGATCATATGTTCCTCCGAGGGCGGGTTTCGTGGTGAATATCTGTTCCGTTAAGAAGAATAAGCTGCCTGTGATTAAGTTTTTGCACCAGAGTGTCATTAATACAGAGATAAACACAGATCTGCACCGCTGTCAATGTAGTTTCAGCACTTCCTGCTTTTCGCCAGGTTTCCCGTAGCAACGGCAGAGGCTCGCGCTTTACGGCACGCGGGAACGGCCCACAACCCAGGACTTGTAGTTTTTTTTGTAGGACTTGTAGTTCAATCGCTAGCGTGTCGGTGTATCACGATTTTAAATCATTTATTTAACATTTGCGATGGTTTGTCGTGTTATAGTTTGTTTTCTTTGAGAAGAGGTGCGGAAATCGTTTACTAAACTAAACTTTGCATGCTTATTTGACTCGGTTTAATGTCTGTCAGATAAATTATACGTTATTTATATTTTTAAAACGGTTTATTTGATTTGTTAAGTGATTCGTAATTGGTTATAAGAAATTATTGTACAAAATTGGGTTTTGAGGGAAAATTGAATTAATGCATTTTATCAAACAATCTACAGTATGCAAATTAGGTGTGTCATTAACATTTTTGCACTTTTATTCATTTAGTTGAATCTGGACTAAATCAAGACAATGACCAAAAGAAAATCCAAGACGACAGGTACCTTGGACCCGTGTAAGTCATTCACACTACCAGCTTGATTAGAGCTATATTGCATATTTCATTTTCTGTAAATAGAGAACATGTTGATGCGATTAAATGTATTTTAGCAGTTCAAAACCCCTAAGAGGACGCAGCCCAGAGTGAAACGACAGAAAAGCACTGAAGAAACAAACCTGCAGCCTGAAGGCGAAAACAAGGTGATTTTTCTCTTGATTACACATAAATAACTTTTGAAGGAAATTACAATATGCTTCGATTTCAGTTTGCTGATTCACATAACTCTTTACCTTAATGTCTAGACACCAGAATCAGAAAACAACAATTCCCACAATGCAGCATGCTCAGACAAACTGGATGAACATCAGCCTGGACAGAGCACATTACAAGTCACTCAGACAACAGAATTCCCTGTAGATCCGTGTTGTTCCTTGGAAGAAAAAACAAGCCGTGATGATAATGTTGAGCGTGGAAACGGCACAAATCCACCTGAGGTCTCTCAAGAGATTGAACAAACTGCAGCGATCCCAGTACAAACCCCAGAACTTGACAATAGCATCAAACACACTCTCTCCAGACCTTTGAATGCAGAAGCTATTAATGTAGATCAGCCCGACATCCAGCTAGAGGATGAAGGAAGTGAATTCACAAGCAATTCAAACCGTGAATCTCAGAAGGTCCCAGATGACTGTGACTCTGAATTACCATCAGATGAGCATCAAACCGAGAGAGAATTGCCACATGAGGAGAATATAGCCACTGAACCAAAGATGGGTGAACGATTAGGGTCTTCACGAGACCGCAGTTGACCAGATAGGAATTCAGATGCCTGAAGATGCAGGTTCTGCAGATCCTCTATAAAGAGGAAAATAAGAAAGAGGATGGGAATGTGTTGGCTTGGAGAAAAGAAGATGCTCAAAGGACCGCCGACTAGAGGGAATGTGTTTGGAGGAGGGCAAGAGAACGAGGCGGGGCAAGTTACGAATGATGAGCCGCTCTTGATGAGAGACAGTGTGAAAAATGATAGCTCCATTTCCCTTGAACAAGAGAGAGTTACTGAGTTTGAGGTTTCTGTGCCCTCCTTCCCAGCCTCTTGCCCATTGGAAGATATACCTGTACAGGAGGAACGGGAGCATCCTGATGTTCAGTATGGGAATGAAGTCCAGATATTGGTGGAATGCATGTCAAGCAAGCAGATTACTCATGAAACTGACAATGTGATCCCATCCCATGCTAATGATGGTGATCTAAACCCTCTCGAGCAAAATGAAATCAAATGCATGGAGCGAAATGCTAATGAATGCAACATTAGAGAAGATGTCACAACTGAGATTGGCACTGAAGTACCTGTAGACTTTACTGTAGACGAATCATTAACTGAGTTTACAAGGACTCAAGATGCAGTTTTGATAGACAGTTCACTTGAAGTCCTCAAAGAGGCCAATGACGCCTCAGCATCCACTTCTGAGGTTGCTAACCATTTTGGAGAAGAACTCGTAGTGGGAGGCAATGAGATGGAGCTGTGTTGTCCGTGTGAATGTGACATGAACAGTGACCACACCAGTGAGCAGTCTGTGGAGCTCATGGATATCGCGGCGAATGAGACCATCAGTGCACCTTCTGTAACCGTGAGACAGAAGATAAGTGTGAGTCTTCAGACTTTACTGTGGTTGCCGTCACAGTCACAGCTGAGAACAAGGCAGACTGTGAGGACAACAGCATGTCGAGTTTGTCCCTAGCTGCAGCTCTACCGGGTGGTGCAAATGAAGACGTGCAAGTGAGGGATTCTTTTGAATGAAGAACATACACTTAAAGCAGGGGTGTCCAAACCTGCTCCTGGAGGGCCACTGTCCTGCAGAGTTTAGCGCCAACCCTAATTAAACACACCTCAACCAGTTAATTAAGCTCTTCAGACTGGAAGCTTCTATGCAAGTGTGCTGGTGCTGGTTAGATCTAAACTGTGGACACCCCAACTTCATATCATTCCAGAACCAGATTTCAAGAAGATATACTGCAGAATGTCGAAAGTGCCCTAAAGGTCTTTTAACCTCTAGAAAAGTCATAAAAGCACCATATAAATAGTCCATATGACTTCTTTAAGATATCTTTGGGTGAGAAAAAAAAGGACAGTTGACACAAAAATCAGCGTTGATTGACATCAATGTGCCTTACTTGATTTGAAACTAGTTGAAGGGGATGAAAAAAAGCCTTCTAGCTTCGTAATGATGGGAGAGATTGAGTAAATGACAGAATTGTCATTGGTGTGCAATATTCCTTTGAAATACCAAAACCACTTAGATTTTTTTTTATTTGACTTTAGTTTTAAGTTTACAGTAAGTAGTGTAGGTTTTGGTTTGATGATTATTAAAGGTGTCCAAAACTCACATGTCCTTTAAAGTCAGCGTTAAGTTACTAAAACGGAGCTGTATCATCAGTCGTTTGCAGAGCCTCATCCGAGTCCTGTCGCTGAACCGGATGCCTCCAGCCCCTTATCCATGCACTCCGTGACAGATTCCCAGCTCAACAACACTCTATAAAGAGGAAAATAAGAAAGAGGATGGGAATGTGTTGGCTTGGAGAAAAGAAGATGCTCAAAGGACCGCCGACTAGAGGGAATGTGTTTGGAGGAGGGCAAGAGAACGAGGCGGGGCAAGTTACGAATGATGAGCCGCTCTTGATGAGAGACAGTGTGAAAAATGATAGCTCCATTTCCCTTGAACAAGAGAGAGTTACTGAGTTTGAGGTTTCTGTGCCCTCCTTCCCAGCCTCTTGCCCATTGGAAGATATACCTGTACAGGAGGAACGGGAGCATCCTGATGTTCAGTATGGGAATGAAGTCCAGATATTGGTGGAATGCATGTCAAGCAAGCAGATTACTCATGAAACTGACAATGTGATCCCATCCCATGCTAATGATGGTGATCTAAACCCTCTCGAGCAAAATGAAATCAAATGCATGGAGCGAAATGCTAATGAATGCAACATTAGAGAAGATGTCACAACTGAGATTGGCACTGAAGTACCTGTAGACTTTACTGTAGACGAATCATTAACTGAGTTTACAAGGACTCAAGATGCAGTTTTGATAGACAGTTCACTTGAAGTCCTCAAAGAGGCCAATGACGCCTCAGCATCCACTTCTGAGGTTGCTAACCATTTTGGAGAAGAACTCGTAGTGGGAGGCAATGAGATGGAGCTGTGTTGTCCGTGTGAATGTGACATGAACAGTGACCACACCAGTGAGCAGTCTGTGGAGCTCATGGATATCGCGGCGAATGAGACCATCAGTGCACCTTCTGTAACCGTGAGACAGAAGATAAGTGTGAGTCTTCAGACTTTACTGTGGTTGCCGTCACAGTCACAGCTGAGAACAAGGCAGACTGTGAGGACAACAGCATGTCGAGTTTGTCCCTAGCTGCAGCTCTACCGGGTGGTGCAAATGAAGACGTGCAAGTGAGGGATTCTTTTGAATGAAGAACATACACTTAAAGCAGGGGTGTCCAAACCTGCTCCTGGAGGGCCACTGTCCTGCAGAGTTTAGCGCCAACCCTAATTAAACACACCTCAACCAGTTAATTAAGCTCTTCAGACTGGAAGCTTCTATGCAAGTGTGCTGGTGCTGGTTAGATCTAAACTGTGGACACCCCAACTTCATATCATTCCAGAACCAGATTTCAAGAAGATATACTGCAGAATGTCGAAAGTGCCCTAAAGGTCTTTTAACCTCTAGAAAAGTCATAAAAGCACCATATAAATAGTCCATATGACTTCTATAAGATATCTTTGGGTGAGAAAAAAAAGGACAGTTGACACAAAAATCAGCGTTGATTGACATCAATGTGCCTTACTTGATTTTAATTTGATTTGAAACTAGTTGAAGGGGATGAAAAAAGCCTTCTAGCTTCGTAATGATGGGAGAGATTGAGTAAATGATGACAGAATTGTCATTGGTGTGCAATATTCCTTTGAAATACCAAAACCACTTAGATTTTTTTTTATTTGACTTTAGTTTTAAGTTTACAGTAAGTAGTGTAGGTTTTGGTTTGATGATTATTAAAGGTGTCCAAAACTCACATGTCCTTTAAAGTCAGCGTTAAGTTACTAAAACGGAGCTGTATCATCAGTCGTTTGCAGAGCCTCATCTGAGTCCTGTCGCTGAACCGGATGCCTCCAGCCCCTTATCCATGCACTCCGTGACAGATTCCCAGCTCAACAACATCCCTCTGAGGTGAGACGAGTGTGAACCATTGACTTTGGATGTTACTGGAGTTCCGTTTAGATTTGTAGAAGCTGGTTCTATTTCAGATTTCATTGTTTTGGACACATTAATGTGCTGTACAGTACAGGCGTTTTTGTCAATTTTGCTTGTTTACTTCTGCTCAGTTTGGAGGATCTCCCGATCTCAGAAGCCTCCTGTGATCTGGAAGATGCCACAGAGCTTGTATGCGGCCTAACCAGAGATAATCGCCTATATGAAGTAAGCCATGATTTGCAGAGGTCTTGAGCACTTAAACAGCATGATTCTGATTTACTCTGTGAAGCATGTTTACTATAATTAAATAAAAGGTAAATAATTTGACCATAAACCATCATAATTTAGATGTTTTATTGCTCTTTATCTTGCAGTCAGATATTGATAGATGCACACAGGAAGATTGGATTTGGGCAGCAAGGCAGAACACCTCCAAGACCACCACCCCACACTCAGAAATATAGGCATAATGCCAACAGATTCAGAATATATTTTTCTGCATGATATAGTGTACAGAAAAAAACAAAAACAATGTAAATAAAAGAAAGAACACTGGATAATTTGCATTGACTGGTTCAGAGTGATTGAGCTGTAGTCAGTTTTTTCAGCAGCCACTTGTTCACAACAGTTCGGTTACACTTGTTTGAAGTCGGTCTTCAGTAAGTAAAAGGACAACTTGCGTAGAGTTGCTCTGTTTTAGCAAGGCAAAAAAGTTAACACTTTTCTTAGGAGGTTCAAGCAAAGTAGTAAACATTGTAATTCTGTCAATCACAGAGTGTGACCCCTAGACTGAAGGGTCGGAACCTTAGCAACCTGTCTTCAAAAGTTCCAGTCATAAATCACATTCTGCATAAATAAATGACTCTTTCCTGTTGCTTCGGTGCGTGTTTGATTGCCAAATCATGTTTTGTAAAACTAGACATCAAAAATGGTCAAACTAAACCAATTTCAGTTGAAGTGCCGTGATAAACACAGGTTTCCAAAAGTCCACTGAACATGTTTCTATGGTTCATTTTCTTCGCTCTTTTTTTTTTTTTGTTCCATCACAAAGTACACTATAATAATTTTAAAGAAATATGTACATTAATTTCCTGATGCTATGAGAACAAAACCTGATGATCATGTTCTCGAACAATTAAAGAAATTATAAATGTAGTGGAGAGAGAAATAAAACAGAAGACTGAGTGGTTTGTTACTGATGCAAAACACAGGCAGCTCTCGAGTAAAACACACCTAAATATTAACATTAAAAGTTTTATAATATATATATATATATATATATATATATATATATATATATAGCACCACAGAGAATCACAATAAAAGTATTATATCAAATACAAAAGTTTTTCTTTATCAAATTAAACATGAAAGAGCTAGTTTTTGGATAGACGGAGTGGTCAAACGCGGGTGCACCTGTAGCGAGCCTATTGGCTTGTGAACAAGTTTGTTTAAAAGAAAAATAGTGAAACACACACACACACACACACAACACTGCACACAATTTAAAGAAATAGAGGAAGACAAAAAAACGTGCAAAATCGAACCGTGGAAGCA